TTACTGCTAATCAATTTAACACAATGGCGAATTTATTTAATAGACTGGCCTCTTCAGAATTCCTCTTTTTATTTTCCCCCCTCTATTTGTGTTCTTCTAAGATCGGTTGGTTCCTTTATGCAGACCGATGTGGGTGGTTTAGTATCTCAGATACAAGATTTGCAGAAGAAGAATGCCGAATTAGAAGAAGAAAAGAACATCATAAGCGCAAAGGTTTCGTCCTGTTCGATCTTTTTTTCCACTTGTGCAGAATATTCTATAAAAAAACATGTGCATCGATTGTTTTTTTAAACTTCATAATTATTACTTTGTTTCAGCTCCAATCAAAGGAGGTTGAGAATGGCACTCTTCAAAAGCGATTGAATGAACTGGTAATTAATGCTCTTCCTGACTGATTTTTCTTTGTTCCTTTGGATAGGTCTTATGTCAGTTGTTTATTTTCAATACTATATTTTCTGATTAGACATATTTCCCTCGTGTAACATGATGGCATGTTAATATATTTGATGCAGTTTTTGTAGTGTAAAACAAGCAAGTAACTCCAATTTCTCTCTGGAAATGAAACTTATTATTTGGAAATGCAGAAGGTTTTGCTATTTGCTAACCTGCACTTAGACCCCATCTTGCCTCCTAGTTTGGTGATAGAAGAGCTTTTCTTAGCCTATACTTCATCTTACTGAAATTCCTTAACTGTCGAGGTGTTCTGTTAATTTAATTGAATATTTCAATCTGATTACAACATTACCTAAACTTTGTAGGAGACAAACACTGTACCATCTTTAAGGAAAGCTCTCAAGGATGTAGCCATGGAAAAAGATGCAGCAGTTGTTGCCCGGGTATATGCAGTCTAGATATTATTTAATTCTTTTTTCCCTTCATTTTGTTCCTCCTAAGCATTACTAATGGGTGATAAATTAGTATAGGAGGATCTGTTAGCCCAGCTTCGCACTTTAAGGAAACAATTGAAGGAAGCAGAGGACGAACAATATCGAGTATGTATTTAGTTTATTAACCACTCACTGAAGCAACTTTTTTTTGTATTAAAATAGTTTTTCTGCATTAGGCGGAGGAAGATGCTGCAGCCTTGAGAGCAGAATTAAATTCAATTCAACAGCAAGCAATGAGTGGCTCTTTTGCCGGAATCACTCCAACTGCTAATCCACTTGATCAGATGCAAAATTTAGAAAAGGAAGTATCTAAACTAAATGCTGAGTTGCAGGTGTGGCTCTTGTGGACAAACTTTTGTCATTTTCTTGTCAGACTGTTGGTTGTTAGTGCCTTACAGTAGTTGATCATGTACAGAAAATTTCAATCTTGAGGCAGCAAGATCTACAAAAGTTATCAGAGGAGCAATCCCGTATTTCATCCCTCATTTCTGAAAAGCAGGAACTTGAAGAAAAGCTTGCAAATACGTCCACAAAGGCCTCAGGTACAGAGATTGTTGTGCCAATATCTTTTGAAGCCTGATATATTCTTGCAAATTTCAAGATTTTGTCCACTTAACATCTACTAATAATTTTGGATATTTTTTGTGTCCGTTTTCTTTCAGAGATCTCAGAGAAGGCAGTGGAGAAGACTTTTTCAGTTGTAAGGGACTTTTTGTTGGAATTATGTTTAAAAGAATTTCAAAAGAATTTATTTCGTGACTGCATTGATGTCACTTACAAGTATCACATAATCGCTTCTTGCATGATTCATACTCTAGAAGTTTAAATATTCATTATTCATCCTATTTCCCCTAGTTACAGCATTACCTTGTTATTTGCAGGAAGAGAAGAGCAAGCTTGAGAAGCAGTTGCATGACATGGCTGTTGCAATCGAGAGGTTGGAGAATAGTAGACAGAAGCTTCTGATGGAAGTAAAGTCTTTTCCATTTTCTTCTCGTTTACTCGCACCAAAAGTATGATTTTATGAATTTTCCTCTAAATGAGAGCCTTCTCTCATGTTTTTTGGCAGATTGATTCGCAGTCTTCAGAAATAGAGAGGCTGTTTGAGGAAAACTCTACTCTATCCAGCTCTTACCACGAGGCTGTGAGCGTAGGAGTACACTGGGAGAATCAGGTGATTATAGTTGTCAACTCTGCATGATTCTTTGCAGTTGTTATGAAGCCTTCAAGGGTTCCAAATAGAATTCCTCCCTCGACTTTTTATTGCTTTAATTGGTTGTATGCTGCCAAGTGCTTCTAATGAGAGAAATCTGGCATTTGTAACTTGTTTACTTCTGAGACACTTCCTATCTCTGTCGTCCTTGTTGAATTACATATGCTTGAGGTGCAGTATGTTTTCTTTAGTGCTCTAATTAACCCTGCTTTAGAATTAATTTTAAGTTACAGCTGAATAGAAGATTTTGTAGGTGAAAGACTGTCTAAAGCAGAATGAAGCACTTCGCAGAGTTCTAGACGAGTTGAGAACAGAACAATTGAACAGTCTGCCGGTGTCATATAGAGATGGGGCAGTTGAAACTCAGTCTCCGCCATTTACATCTGACCTTCTCTACCTCAAGGTCAGTCTCTTGCTTAGGATGCAACTTTCTGCCTTTTGTATGTATATGGTGATGTCTCAATGAAGTTGGAAGTCCTTTCTAGAAGTTGAATACTTGGCCGTATGTTGGTCAAGTGATTATGTCAAACTGGTTACTTCAGATGTAATCTGTTACCTTGGTTTCATTCATACTTTAGGTTGGTCATCTAAGTATGATTATACTATGATTTCATCTTCCTATTCTTTCTCTATGAAGGCCCAGCTAGCAAAAGAACAGAGCAGAGCAGAGATGTTATCAGCAGAAGTATTGGAGCTGTCAACGCGACTCCAGCAGGCTACACAAGCATATAACGGGCTCACACGCCTGTAAGATCCTCTCTCTCATACGAATAACAGTTGATTCATTTTATTTCAAAGAAGACTTTTTTTCTGAATTTCTGCTTCTTACATTGTAGCTATAAGCCAGTGCTGCGGAACATCGAAACCAGCCTAATTAAAATGAAGCAAGATGGATACGTTGGTGTATGCTGAATACAAATGTATTTCCAAGGAAACTTCATACAAACTCTGGAAAAACTGATAGTGTCTATGGAAGGTTTATCATCTGTCACATATTTTCCTTTTGTGAGAAATATTATTTCAACACTAACTGGAGGACCCCTTTTGGGAGTGTACTTTTTTAGCTTTATGTTAGATTCCAAACAAAAGCTATAGTACATTCATATTCATTTTATACTGAATTTATTATATCATTCTTTCAATGTTTCAAACGTTGATCTATAGCTTTTGGCTAATTGGATCTTGAAGTAAATCATATAATGATTTGATGGAGACTTGATCAGCTTTATTATTTGATCAGCGGCGGACCAAATTATTGTATAAAAGGACAGGCCCAATTGAGTGCTTTACATTGCATTTTCGTTCATCTATTCTTATTATTAGACAAATCTATTACTTATTCATTAGTTTTTCTTTACTACATTCCCCAAACTTCAAACATGGATTACATGAACTGTTGGAGCAATTGTAACCAGTGTAAACTCTTTCCCTTTTCCTGTTTTTTTAGAGCAAGGGTTAAACTCATCGAATCATTAAAGTTATTTTGAGCTATTATTTTGTCCCTTTAGCTAGCTGGATTGCACCAATTGGCAAATTTTCCCTTCGAACAACTTTGGAGTAAAGAGGAGGAAAGAAAAGGGGGGAAGGCATGAACAGAGAAAAGTTGATAGCATGGCTGTAAATCTCACCCTGTTTTTATATTTATTGATATTTTGTAACAAAGCTTTCTACAGGTTGGCAAAAGGAACTGTGATTATAATTCAGGATTCAATGAGGAAGAGATAAGCAGGGAAGAAAGCTCAACAATGGAGTCCTCAAAGATTTGTTTCTGTATTCCTCGCCACAAAAATGGCCTCAAAGCTGATGGAGGATCAGAGAAATCTTCCAAATCAAAGCCTTCCCGCCGCAAATCTCGCCGTGCTGCAAAAGGAGGTAAGCATTCCCCTAGTAGTGATAGCAGTGGAGATGGAAACACAGGTGATGCAAATGAAAGCAGCGCCTCCGCCGCCGTGGCTGCTGTTGCAGTCACAGCAGCAGCCACAGTGGTGGCCGTGGATGCTTTAGAAGATGATGGTGGCAGCTCGCATGGCCACGGCGGTGAGGGAGGCGGTGGAGGTGGCGGAGACTAGGAATCGGTTGATCGGAGTGTTGATTTATTGCTTTTTTTCTCATTGCTTCTGTTTTGATGATCCTTCTGCTGGTTTGCTGAATTTTGGTTTGATTGATGTGTGGGAGTCTTATATCATTTTGTTTGAATTACAGTATATGAGCATCTGGGTCTTGCTTTCCTTTGTTATATTATAGAAAACTTTGTAAAAACATCTTGAAATGATGGCTGCTTTCAGCTCTGTTTTGGTTAGAATCAATCTATTCTCGATCTAAGAGATCTGATTTCTAGAATTGGTTCTATTTCTCCTACTTTCGAGTTGGACTACACATTCGAGGCTCACTAACTTCTTTTGTCGGACATTTGAGGATTTTATTAACATGTTTAGGCATGACTCTGATACCATGTTAGGAACCACTGATCTCTACCATGGTACGAGGATTCTATTGACATGTCTAGGCATGACTCTCCTACCATGTTTGGAACCACTGATCTCTACAATGGTTTTGCTTTTGGTTTTTTCAGAATATCTCGTATCAATGGAAAACTCATGATCAATCTCTTAATTAGCTAAATGTGAGGCTCCTCTTCCAACCATCCTCTAACACACTCATCTCAGAATTGTTGGTCTTATAGAAACAAACAATAATAATAAAAAATAAAAAATAAAAATATGGGAATGAATGGACCGAAAAGATCATATTACATGGATACAAAATATAATTTAATCTAAATCAAAATTCAGCCTGAAATTTTAATCTAAAACATTTGCTAGTCAAATTCTATAATTCCGGAAAGCACAGATCATCATAAAAAGCATAAACCCTATTAAATTAATTTGAGTAGAGACCCATTTACAAGAGTTGGATAATTGCGTTCACAATTATAGGAAAAACAATAGAATGTTACAATCACACGACAGGCTCACATATTCTTTGCTGAAACTCGTAAAATCAGGTAACCAACCCTCGTGAAACAGATACATGCATAGATTACAATGGAAATACATACACAAATAAAAATAAGCTCTTCAAAGAGTTCTATCATCAGCCATAAAAGTCAGAAACAATCAATAATATAATTTTCTTCTTCCTAATCATCATCAACATATATGGTTTCTTGCTTAAAGAGACCACCAAAAACCTTCCTTACCTCTGCTTTTGCCTCCTCTTTGGCTTTAGGCTTTGAGTTTTCTTTTGATTTGGCTGCAAACGAGGGCTTGGAATTGGTCATTGCTTGTCTCACGGCTGCTTTCTTTGATGGCAGAGATCGAGCCTTAGCCTGTCCTCTCACTGTGGCTATCTGAACATTTGATTCCTCAGGTTGTTTTGGTAGTTGAAAAGCTAGTTTATCCCATGGCTGCTGCGAGCCGAAGCCCTTGGCTTTGCTTAAAAAGTTGTTGACTAAACTGCCTGCTGCACTGTCGACCTTCTCTGGCGCCTCTTCGGCTTTGGGTTTAGTGGGTGCCTTGGGTTCTTTTTCTGAGAGCTTTTTGAGCTTTTGGGATTGCTCTGAACTGAAATCCTTGGCTTTGTTCAATAAGGTGTTGAAGAAGGCTACTTCATCAGATTCTTGCTTCTGGGATTCTTCGGCAACAGCAGCAGCAGCAGCAGCTTGGGCTGTCTTTTCAGCTTTGGCAGCCTCAAGTTGTTGTTTCTTTGCGGCCTCTGCCTCTTCACGAGCTTTCTCTGCAGTTCTTATGGCTTCTTCCTCTGCTTTTGCCTTGGCCTGTGCTTCAGCATAAGCCTGTCTTCTCCCATCCGTGGGAATGGCGCTGATACCAATTTATACCAAAACAATCAATCTTCTAATCACAATGCTTTATGAAACCATAGAATCTTCAACACACAATTCTCGGTTTTAGAAAGACTAAGATCACAAATTTAGTTCATAGAATTCAAATTTGTCTTAATTTGGTTCCTAAAATTAATATATATATATATATATATATATATTAATCTTCTAACTTTCTAACTTTTAAACGTGTGTTTGTTAGTCTTAAATTTTGAATTTTTATTTTTGTGTCAATTTTTTGATTTTATATTTAATAGTTTTTTTTTAATTATCGTCTCTTAAATACAAAATTAAAAGTATAAAATTTAATTGTGTATCTATTAAATCATATAGTTTTCTTTTAACATTATCCGTATATAAAATATTTAACACATAAGTTATGTACTTATTAGACATTTTTAAAGTTTTGGGTTCTATTACCTATAATAAAAAAAAATATAAAAACGAATTACCCTAGTTTAAAAATTAACTCAACAAATAAAAAGTTTAGAACTAAACGTAAATTTAACGTTTATCATTTCAAAATTATAGATTCAATAGTGTTAAAATCCAAAAACTTAAACTAATAAAATTTGAGACTCAACCTGATAGAGATAATAAAGATTCGAAACAAAGAAATGAAAAAAAAATATCATCAACATCATGTGAGATTTAATTTTGTAAAGATATGAGATGGTGTATATGAACAATAATAATTGTTAAAGAAACATGATGCAAAAAGGGGAGAAAAGAAAAGAACTTACCTGAAAAGTTGCTCTACTGAACTTGAGAGTGCTGATGGAGTAGAATAAACTTCCACAACCTTAAGGATCAGAAGTAAAATGCTGAATCAATAATTTAAGCAATGGCTATGCTTAAAAATTGTGAGTGCAGTAAAATGCAAGGTACCTTGTTCTCGGCCACCGCCGTGTTCGAGAAAACGCCGGCCACCAGCGATGCTATCCGTGACTTGGCCACCTGAAAGTAATTTTGAAGTCAAAATTAGGAAGCATGATCCTTCTCAAGAACAGAGAAAGGGAAAGAGCTGTTCAACACTATTTGACAATTATGTCATACATTACATTACTTTGTAGTCGTTTGAACTAGCGCTTCCTTCTGCTCTGACGACGACATTATAGGCCCGTTCAGGCTCAAAGTCTTCTACCAAATTTGCCTTGATGAACGTATAGCTGACATCGGTTTCAACTATTTTCTGCAAGAGCTCCACTACGGACAACTCCTGAGATCGGGAGAACAGGTTGTTGAAGAATGACGAAAGGCCGTCGAGTACATTGTTTGTGGAGGAGTTTGATGCGTTGCCATCGTAGACGATGGCCACATGGCCTACTCCGGCGAGCTGTGCTGCCTGAATTACTTGCAATGCGTCCGATGTGGTAACTTCGGAGGTCGGACCGTTTTCTCCAGCGCCAATAGTGACTACAACTTTACTGGCGTTTCCGATCGCCTTGGCTATCGATTCGGCATCTTGAAAGGAGGATTCGACTGCGTTTAATCGCTTCGATTCTTCATTAGATATGACCTTCATTGTTCGATTAATAAAATGCACAATGTTATCGTCAAAATCAATAACTGAACCAGATGCAGAGTAGAATTATCAATTCAGAAAACAACGAATCCTTAGAACTTCCAATCTCAAATACAAAATCCAATCTGACCTAATTATACTTGAGAACAAGATTCGAGAGCAGAATTATCAATTCAGAACACAATGACATTCTCACATCTTCCACTCTCACATACAAAATTCATTCTGACCTTACACTAAACGATTAGATGCGAGAGTAAAATTATCAATTCAGAAAACAACGAAATCCACATGTCGTTCAAATCCTCATATCGTCCGTTCTCAGATACAAAATTCGTTCTGAACTAACCTTATACTTGGCAGCAAGACGAGCCAATTCTTGAGCAGCATCAAGCTCCGGCACACCAGCACGGACACTAAAACCTTCACGCAACAGCGTCTGCGCCAATCGAATGCCAGCCTGACCAGAAGCGCCAGCGACAAACACCGTATTAGGATCCTTCCGCCTCGCGTTTCCGAATGACAAACCAGACGAAGTATCACTAACAACCGGAATCAGAGACTTCACATCCGGTATCTTTCCGAAGTTGAAACGAAACGGATTCGAATTACCGGAATCTTCAGCCGGAGCGCCATCGGACGATGGCGATCCATTGCTCGATTTCCCCAAGCGAAACGAAGCGAATGTTCCAGAACTCTTGGCGTAGACGGAAAACTGCCTACGGCTGTTGTTGTCAAAGCTACGGCGGGCGTTTGGGGCTGTGGTTAAGATAAACGAATTGGAGTTTATGATCGCCGCCATTGGAACAAGGAGACTACAGAGAAGGAACGGTGGTTAGTTTGTGGTCTCCACTCTTCTTCAGGTTTTTCTCATATCCATGACTGAGAATTGGATTGAAGTCTTACACAAACAGCCCCCACATCCTCAAAACCAGTAACCAAACGCCATGGAATTTCGAGATTTCTTTGTAAATATTATCCAGAAAAAATAAAAGAATAGCCAATAAGAAAATGACACGTGTACAACTTTATCCATTAATTAAAAATTGAAGTGAACCCTAGAGGCTGCAAGATTGACCTTTTTCTTCCATTGAAAATGGTCACATAATTTCTGTTTATCCACTGTCCTCCTCCCCATCCCTTTCTCCTTGTTTATCTAATAATAATATTATTTTTATTCTTATTCATTTTTTCCTTCGCCTTCATAATTATATTAATTGTATTATTAGTTTATATTTAATTTTATCCATTTTCGTCTACTCCATCCCTTTCTTCTTGTTTATCTCATAATAATTTTATTTTTATTTTTTCTTTTGCCTCCATAATTATATTAATTGTATTATTAGTTTATATTTAATTTTAATTTTTATAGATTACTAATATTTAAGTAAAAGATTAAAAAAAAATTCAATACTCTCTAATATTTGATATTATTTTTAAAAAAATTAAGGAGTTTGAGCCACAAAATTAAAAAATGTTTTATATTTGGTCTAATAAAAATTAATTTTTTTAATGTGATTTCCCATCACAATTATTTAAAATATCATTTTTAATTTCAAATATTTTTTTTTTTATAAATCTAATTTTAACGAAAATAAAACTTAAAAAAACTTAGTAATAAAATTTTTTTAAAAATCAATTGGGAATTGGGAAAGATGTTGAGTGTAATATATCAGTGTTTTGATGTCAACAAAAAATTATTTAACTTTCTTTAATAAATAGAAACTACTTTTAAATTTAGAATAGGCGCTCACAAGATATTAGCAATATATTAATTTCGATAACATATTGAATGTGTTTATTAAAATGATGTATTAATGCAATTTTTTGTGTGTATACACCGATAATTTTCTTATATATGTAAAAAAATATTAGATAGGATACATGTCATAATTATTGGTTGAAAACACAAAATATATATATATATATAGGATAATTTTTGAATGGTGGAATATGTATTAATTTTTACTGGTATCGCGATAATTTATATTTGTAAATTATATCATGTATATCTTAGAGATGTTTATAAAACGGGCGAACGGATAGTTTTCCCCGTCCCATCATCCCCACTACCTATTTCATTTCTCACAAAATTCTCTAGTTATTTATGCCGAAATCGAGCGGGATTTACGGTAGATAATTTTTTTGTTTAATTTTTAAAAATAATTCTTTTATAATCTAAAATTTTCAATATAATTTTTATTTAAAAAAAATAATAAATCAATATATAATGTTTCTCGACCCTTTTGAAAAAATATTTACCACTGCCTCTCCATTCTCGGCATAAATTCTCTCCTATTTGATTGGTGCATGCGTTTATAAATTTAATTAATCATTCTACTAGCATATATTAAAATTATTATAATCATCTAAAACAATATAAAATAGGTTAGTTGATAATACGTTCGAGTTTACTCCTTTCAATAGGCTTTTACTCTAATCTATAGTTAAGAGTTTGGATTCACATTTTTTTTTATTAGGAACTGAAATATTTTTGTAGTCAGATGAAAAAGAAAGCAAAAGTCGTTCTAGTATGGGAGCAGCCCTAAACTGTGAAAACGGGGCTGCGGGAGAGCAATACAAGTGTCGTGCTGTTAGACTAGAGTGTTGCACCCTAGATGGCAAGAGTCTAGTAGCCGAAAGCATCACTAGCTTACGTTCTGACCTGAGTAGCATGAAACAACTCACCGCCTATGAACAAATATTCCATGATTTAATAATCAAATAAAAATTATAAAATGGAATTGATGGACTGGAACTAATCAATGACTTGATATTTATGAAATAAAAAAAGAGCTAACAATCGTCGTGACTTCGACAAGATCCTTTCATTCTCTTCTTATTATTTATCGTGACTTAGTTAGTCGATTTCATAGCTTTCCATAAATGACACACTTATATAATTAATTTTTCAAAATATTAATATATTTTAAACTTTTAATTTTGTACCCATAATAAAATTAATATAATTTGACACGTCATAATTAGTAATTGACATGTATTTTTTTTTAAGTCAAAGTTCAAATCCCAGTAATACAAAATTATATTCTCTTTCAAAATTCATATATGAATTTTAGAAAACATTTAATAAATTTTTAAACCTTTAATTCAATAAAAATTGTATAATAAATATTAATATATTTTATTTATTCACTTATTGATACAAAATTTAATATTTCAGAAATGAATTAATGTTTTAAAATTTTAAATAAATGTTTAAAGAATTAAAAGTTTGTATAAAATTAAAAAAACATGTTTTATTAAAATTTGAATAAATAGGTAAAGAATTGAAATTTTACTTTTTTTTCTTTTTGTACAGAGCCAATCAGAACAGCGGGACGAAAGAAAACCGGGAAAATAAGGCTGGAGCAGATTGCGCCACGTGTATTCAAGCATTATAATCGGATGCAAACCTATTTATATTCCACTCTTTATTCTCTCTTTCTTGTCCGCCTCTCTCCTCTTCCCCTTTCTCTCTCCTCCTTCTCTCTCTTCTCTCTTCGTCTTCTCGTTTCCCTTCTCCCTCGCCTCCTCTGCCCTTTTACTTCACATAACTCTACAAATCCAAGAAGTTCGTACGGATCGTATGGATCTTGTTTCTTGATTTTTCTCTCCAATTTTCTCGGAGTCTTGATTCTGGGGTTCGCTAGTGGAGGGAATCGGAGGTAGACAGAGCGAGGCGGATCCGTTATGACGACTTCGACGAGCTCTATCTACATCAATGTCATCGAAGATGTCATCAACAAGCTTCGCAACGAGTTCGTTGATAATGGTCCTGGAGAGGATGTTCTCAAGGAGCTTCAAGGAGTAATTATTGATCTCCAATCTTGAAAATCGTGTTATTCTTCTTTGCTTTATACTCTTAGCTTCTCTAGTAAAATGAACATTTGCCTTTTTATTTTGTTTGTTTTTCAATCTATTTGAAGGAATCCATAGAATTTTTCCGGTGATCACCGTCGGGTTTTGATCCGATTCTTTCTAGGGTTTTGAAGCTTTGAAGCTAATTTAAGCTGTGGTTGGGCTGATTGTCTTTGTTTATGGGAACTTTTAGATGTGGGAGGCGAAAATGATGCAAGCGGGTGCTGTAACCGGTCCCATAGAGAGGTCTGCGCCATCTAAGCCCACTCCCGGAGGTCCAATAACTCCGGTTCACGATCTCAATGTTCCGTACGAGGGGACTGAAGAGTACGAAACTCCCACTGCTGATCTACTCTTTCCACCGGTTAGTACTTCTGTCCTCTCCACTAAATGGTTTCCGAAGTTCGTATTTAATAATCGAAGCGATTTTGGAAATTGTAGACGCCATTACAAACTCCAATTCAAACCCCTTTACCGGGAACTGCTGACAACGGAATGTATAACATTCCTACTGGACCTAGTGACCACTCTGCATCTGGAACTGATGCTTCTCCAGCTGCTACCACTCCTGGAGGTAGTGCTAATAATGTTGATGTCAGATCTGGAAGGCCAACCCCGTTTATGGTAATTACTGCTTGACTCTGGTTCCACTGCCACTCTTTATATTTTCTCATTTCCTGCAGTTTACCCGTTCCATACCGTCATGATTGCTGTATTTTCTTAAAAAAGGAAGGGTTATATGTAGTCATGGTGGCTGTTAATTTGATTTAAAGTGGAAGAATGGCATCGATATGATTTTTACCATCAACATTTTGAAGTATTTTGTTGATAGTTGAACATGACGTCAATTGGCGTATTTGACAAACGTCTACATTATTGTTTCAGCAACCACCTTCTTGGATGGGTCAAAGAACTCCTGTAGACGTTAATATTGGTGAGTTTATTGTTGAGGCAGTGAAAAAGTTACCACACCAAGAATTCTGCAGTAATATATATTGATTGCACTTTGTAGCCTATGTGGAGGGGCGTGAGGAAACAGACAGGGGAGCTGCTCACCCATCCCTTACACAGGTAACTCCTTTCTTATCTCACTCTTCCATCATGAAAAAGTTTGTTGCCTAATGTGAAACCCAAACCTTCCCTGGTGAATTTCATCTGCTTCAGTGATTTCAAATTACTCAACTCCTTGCTGCCATATATCTAGCGGCACACAGCTTCAGTATGATGTTTTAACTTAGGGAGCGAATTTTCAGGACTTTTTCACGATGAATGCTGGGAAGCGAAAGCGTGATGATTTTGCATCCCAGTACCAGACTAGTGGGTTTATACCGCAGCAAGATGGAGCTGTAGATGCTGACAATAGTGTCTTTGAGATTGAGGTTTTGTTTCCTTACCTACAGTCAGTGCTCATATATTTTTTTTTTCCGGCCTTGGACTTGTATGCCAATTTTCTTTTACATAATTTCAGTTTCTAGTCTTTTGTGAGCATGAGCTAGTAATAGCAACAACCATAACAACATTTTCTATTTTTCTTTTCTTTCACTAGGGTGGATGCTTATAATTCTTTTTCCAGCACGATTGGTCATGTACATGATATATTGAGACATTCTAACACATGGAGTCAAGCTACTTCCAAATAAGCTAAGGAATGTTGTAATTCCACTTCATTTCAAGGAAACCTTTCTTTTATGGGAATTTAAGGAGACCTTTAAACACATATTTTTGGTTTACGTGTATATTATACAAAATCAATATTTGAGGTGGAAACTTCTACTGCTATTTTCCATTGCTATCAAAAACCACTCAAAATGAATTTCACCTTGGAGAGGAAAGCAACTAACCTGGGTTGATTTTGTGGTCAAGAACGGCCAATGTAAATAATAAAAGACTTAGTTACCTTGGCAACTAAATATAGTAGGGTTGCATGGTTGTCCTTTCAGAATGGTCGAGATGTACACATACTGGCCCAGATGCTAACAAATATTAAAAGAAAACATTGGAGGGAAAGCGATAATTTTATATTCAAGCTCAACTATACATGCATTCTCTTTATGTAAATTGAAAAATCCTAAACTATTTGAG